AGGCGAATAGGTCTAGATTTTGCTGTGTCATTTGGTAGTCGCTGGCAAAGAGAAGGTTATACATACTGGCCTTGGTGTTTTATGTTTTGCCCTGCATAGGGCGAATGTGTCAATATTTTACTGTCTATCAGATAGCTAATGGGGATACTTGGTCGGTTCTCTGAATAGACATCCACCAGCATTGGAAAGAACATGAGCCTCACATGAGTTGGGGTGAATACGCAACTTTTTCATCCCATTTTAACCTCTAAAGTTTCCTATTTGGATCTATTGTGCTTCAGAAATTCTATAATGGGATTGAAAAACTGCCTGACTATCCTTAAAAAAACGTTCGAAGCATCCAAATTTATATATTATTTTGTAGATTACGTGTCAATTTCTCGGTGGCGATTTATGAGTGTTGCCTTACGGCTTTTGCTCATTTCGTGGTATATTTCCTGCATTATCCAAAATAGTAAGATTTTATCGATACTTCCACAGTTTTTCCGGAGTTAATTTCGTCACTCTGGACAACGTATTTTCCTTAGTAATAGATTCAGACAATAGAGTAATACGCGGACGTCGCTTTTATCAGTAAAGTTCCGTTTATCTTCTTTGAGTGGGACACACCCAATTATGTGGAGTTGGTAGCCTGTCTGCCGACTCAACTGACAGTACTCAAGCACTTTCATTTTTTCTCTTCTGTCTGCATTTGCAAACTTATATATGCTCAGCGTGAGATTGTATAAGAAGTTGTGAACCATTATTTCTCTATAATCTGTTTTTTTCTTCCCTGTAGATTGGAGCAAAAAAACCTCCTCTCACAGCTAATTTGCAGTGACAGTCCAGCTGGGAAGAAGCTGCAGAACTTCTTTTTTGAAATTCTTCAAGGTACTGCTTTCTCTTATCTACCCTTAACTCCTCGTCCATATTTTACTGACGCCGTTAGCGGACTTCTTAAGTATTTATAAATTGTCGTCACGCCACCACGCGCATGGGCTGCAAGACAAAGCTGAAGTTACAACATTCATCATGCAATCAGGGTGGATGGGGGCCCGCAAATCCCCTGCAGCCAAGTACTCCTAACCTCAGCTAACATGACTAGATTTCGCAATTCAGTAGTGACGGCGTTACTAAATGACAAACCGACTGCGGTCCACGCCTCAGGCGTACAGTCCGTGGTTGGTGTGTCACGTGCTGATAGCTGTAGGCAAATAGCAGTTCCACTCTAACGCTGTCTTTATGAGTCAAGTCTCCTTAACTGAGTAAGAGACGGGAATAGGAGCACACCTCATACATGTGGCCAGTAGTCGCCGGTTATTAAGCCCACGGTTAATAGGCCCAGCCGCTTATTAAACCCAATTTGGTCTGGGCCCGAGGTGGGCTTAACAACCGGCGACTACTGTATTTTGCTAAATTCCAGAGAAACTAGTGTTATTGTAGTTAGAATTGGTGTTAGAGTTAGGCAACGGTTACTGCCAGGGCTAGGGTGAAAACACGAAATATGTAGGCTTCCTGGAATTTGGCGCAAGGCAGAGATTACCGCACCTGAAAACATATTTACTCGATGTCGAGGCAAAAAACGTAGGTCTCTTTCACACGAGTCACTGTGATCGATTTCCCTTCCAGTCCGTTGACCTGGTTCATACCACTGAGATCGACCTCTCGCGACATTTTCTCGCTATACTACGTCTGAGCACTGTTGAACTATCACGAGACGTTACGGGTGGCGACTTAAATGTTTATCAAGGGTTTGAGTGTCAGCAGTGCATATTTAAAGACGAATATTCAGCGGTCATTTTTGAATGTGGCTGTGTAATAGCTGAATGATATTTTATTCGTACTATTGAAGTCTTGTTCGTATCGGCTGGGGAACCAGCTTTTAGATGCTCCGTGACCGTGGGTATTTGGACGTTTTAACAAGATTTTAGGGGGTTTTGAATACAGATGGGTCCTTGACAGTCGCGCGGATTGTTTTGTTTAAGGTTATTTCCTCTAGCACTTTGACTCAAGAA